TCTATCTATCTATCTATCTATCTATCTATCTATCTATCTATCTATACCAGTCAGTTCATATCTATCTATCTATCTATCTATCTATCTATCTATCTATCTATCTATCTATCTATCTATACCATCGTTCATATCATATCTATCTATCTATCTATCTATCTATCTATCTATCTATCTATCTATCTATCTATACCAGTCAGTTCATATCTATCTATCTATCTATCTATCTATCTATCTATCTATCTATCTATACCAGTCAGTTCATATCTATCTATCTATCTATCTATCTATCTATCTATCTATCTATCTATCTATCTATCTATCTATCTATCTATCTATACCAGTCTGTTGATATCTCAAACTTTATACTATTCTACTAATAATTATACATTATTGATATTTTTAATGATATAAACCGTCTTTTTCTTTTATTCTTGGTAATGTTAATGTTAACCTTTTCCTTATGAGGAAGCATTCGTTATTCTTTGACTGAACAGCCAGTACTGCTTTCGGCTGAAATTCATAACATATTTCTCTTAAAACAATTTTCAGAAAAAATACGTCTTTCAATTTCCCAAGCTGTTATTTCACTTTCCGGTAATCATCGGATTTTCCTTCCAAACCTTTTGTTTGGAGTAGTGGGAAACGGCGACATCTTGATTCTGTCAATATTTTCTATTCGAATTGCATGCTATATCCATTTTAGTTGAAAACTTAAAAAAGCATAGATAGACGAATATAATGTTGCTTGTATAAACAAATAGATAATGTCTTAGATTATTAAAAACATTTGCCAAAATACGAATAACCATGGGTATGGTAATATTAGCCGTTTCCTTAAATGAAACATTTGGCATTCATTGACCGAGTCAATAATTCTGCTATCGGCTGAAATTCAAAAAAAAATTTCCAGGAAAATAGTTTTCTCAATTCCAGTAGCTGTTATTGCTCTTTCCAGGATTGATCGTAGTTTCCTTCCTATCCTTTTGTTTAGACTGGTGTGGAACAGCAATATCTTGAGTATGTCATTATTTTCTCTTCGAGTTACATGTGGTAGCCATTTTAGCTGTTGTTGAAAGTCCTCAATTGCTGCCGTTTATGATATTTGGCTGGGGTCTTTTTCTGTAATTGTCTAACGCCATTCACAAGATTCGAAAAAGTTTGGTTCTTCGCCAAAACCCACGGCTTCACTCGATTAAAGCCAGTTCTAACCATTGATGTGAGAAAGCAGTTGTATACCAGCTGAGAGCTTAGTTTTTTATGAACGAGTTTGGCGCCATGAATAACTTTCATATGAAAGTTTTGATCTGACGAAGCTATTGAAGAACTTGAGTTTTCAGATTAATGTTGGGTTTTTAGTGTTTTTTAGCAACGATCTCTAGCACTGCCTATTCTCTGTTAAATGACCTTATATCTTATGTTAAATTTGTTATTACAGATAACGTCAGTATAGTATTTGAACATTCTTCCGTGCTATATAAAGAGGCTAAAATTTAGAAAATAGTAATTTTGTCGACTATTAAATCGGAATAAAGGAAAACAAATGACTTTTGAGTCTTTGTGCAAATCAGTGACGAAAACTATGATTGCTGCAATTCTATATTTAGTGTTTCTTCATAAAATATCTGAACTGATAAAGAATTTATTTGTGGATATGCATATTGAAATAAAAGTAGGTTCGTTTATGGAAAAAGAAAAAAAGATGAAAAATGGGAGAAAAAATAACCAAAATTAGAAAGAAAAATAAAGAATTGCGAAAAATTGCGAGAAAGAACCAGGATTAGAAGGAAGGAAAACGACATATATATATATATATATATATATATATATATATATATATATATATATATATATATATATAAAGGATGTTCCAATAACTTGAACCGATTTTTAAATGTGAATTAAGTTTAAGCGTCTAATGATTTTTTTTCTTTCAGATTTAACAACTGATGTCTTTGGCAATTTCAACCATGTAAAGATTAACAATCAAACAACGTGTTAAAGTTTCAAGGGTGCAATTGGAAAAATTGTTCGTAAATTCAAACAAACTAGGTTGGTGGCAGATGTGAAAAAACCATTGCGTGCTCGTTTAGGCCGTTCAGCTGAAAACATTTCTGCAGTGCATGAGAATGTGGCCGAAAATCTAGACACCTATATTCAGGAATTTAACCTCTCCACAAACAATGTTACATCGTTTCCTAATTCCACTCTCGGTTGGTCGATTATGTTGACCAATATATATATATATATATATATATATATATATATATATATATATATATAAATACACCTAGTGAGCCAGACAAACCTACCTAGGTTTCACCTAAACGGATCGTCATGGAAAGTTTTTTTCTTTCTTTTTTAAACCTTTTTTTCCCTCGAGATTGATGTGATTAGCAAATCAAAAATTCGAGGGTTTTTATATAAACGAGTCTAGTTATATATATATATATATATATATATATATATATATATATATATATATATATATATATCAGAGTCACGCTGGAGTAGTTGATAGCGGCTCGGATTGAGGAATCAGAGAGCCGCTATCCATTATAACTGACGAGGCTATTTAAGAACTCAGCTCTCCGATTGAGGAATCGGAGAGGTGAGTTTGACTTCCAATCGAATCCCTTACATACAATTAAGTGCTTATACCCTAGAGAAAGGTATTAATCATCATCTTCCCTCTCCATCTATGGGTAAATAGGTCTGGGTTCAATTGCCTTTGATGGCAACTGGTCTAAAAGAAGGACAACTCTAAATTCAAAACCTGCGGAAGGTTGTTTGAGGACCTTGTGGCACGTAGTGCACCAGGTCTCTGTATTCAGCACTTCAAAAAGTGTGGTTGGTTCTGCCCAAAGCCTTTACCACTATAATCAAATCATATGTGATGGTGTCTGGGCTGTCGGATTCTAGGATCTGAACTGCTTGACCCTCATACGCCGAACACGACGTGTGTGTGTATGTGTCTTTATTCCCATTGTCAAGAAAACGCACGATGCAGGCCATTTAGAATTACTCTCTTCAAATCTTCAAAGATAAATCGTTGCTGCGTGTTCTTTGTTCCAATGTAAAATGATCGTTTCAACATTAAGGCCAATGATTACAAAGATTCAATAGGCTAAAGACTGAGTCTTGATTGGTAGGATCCATTTGGGGAAGATCGCTGGATAACAATGCAGTGTATAATTCAATAATAATATATGTTTTACATGTGGATTATATGATAGATATAAACAGACTGGATTCAAGAAATTTGCACAGCGTAAATGAATCGAATGTAGTACGATCATTTACTGCAACCCTTCATGAGCAGTACTTTTTGAGAAGTTATTGTGTACATGTACAAAGACTTCGAAAAGGCACTGCAACTCGATGACAATGTGATTTTGAGGCAACTAAGATGTTCCAGGATTCAACGTCAATCGCCATCTTCTTGAATCCTGTTCATGTTTTGCTCTTTCTTCAATCCTCCCTATACTATGTGTTTTCCCTCATTTTTCACTCCCTGTAACTCCCTGCCTACTAGTGTCGTTCACGACTTGATTGGGAAGAAATATTAAAAGAAAAAATAGAACTTAGCTTAATATAGTGAAAAAATATACTATACTGGGTGTAACAACAAAATTGTCCAAGTCGTGTTACAGCATAATTGTCCAAGTCGTGTTACAGCATAATTGTCCATTAGACAAAATGTTTACTATCTAAAAAAAAACAAAAAAAAAACACTAAATTAATTAAGTTTCTTTTTTTTTTCAGGTTTTCAGATAAGACCTTTAGCCTTCTTGATAGATATAATGCTATACTGGGTGTAACAACAAAATTGTCCAAATCGTGTTACAGCATAACTGTTCTACAAAATGTTTACTATCTAAAAAAACAAAAACAAAAAAAAACACACACACACACCAAACTGAGTTTCTTTTTCCAGGTTTTCAGATAAGACCTTTAGCCTTCTTGATACCATTTGCCGTAAGAATCACTGAAAAACCCTTTGAGATATTCAGCTAAAAAGCTTACAGGTTAAAATCATTTTGTGTCAGACCCACTAAGTCTTCCCAACTGAGCAATGGTGAGAAGAAAAATTTCATTCAGACCTTCAGTAATGGTACCAACATTTATACTCTGGCTTCCATCTTCAAAGTATATTCAAGAACCATCAAGAGAAAAGGTGAATAATTTTTAAAAAGAGGGTACAGTGGAGAGGAAAACTGGATCAGGAGGTTACAACTGGAGGAGGAATTATCATTTAAACTTAGAGGTAAAGATTATCAATTAGAAAAGATCCAAATCAGTCCATAAGGCATTTGGGAATTTGGAGACGAGTTTCAGCTATGACAGTCCAAAGAGCAGTGAAAACAGACTTCAAAATGAAACCGTACGTGAAACCTTGTAACTCCAGGATAGAAATTTAGAAGGTTAGAGAGGGCGAAGATCATCTTGAATAATTTGGAAAATAATATATATATATGTGTGTGTGTGTTTATGTGTGTGTGTATTTATGCATTTGAACTTTATTTCAATCCTTCATAAGTTTCCGATCCTTAGATATGATTAATGAATGATAACCATGTCATTTTCGTTTAAGATTGATTTCATCGCGATTCTTCTGTTAAGCTTGGAGAGTAATTATACATTTTTATTACTATTAAGTATAGACCAGTAGTGTTATAAAAACTCCGGAGAATTCCGGTAAGATATCTTTAATCATTTCTAAGATACAACCGTTCAAAGCTATATCTAACATATGGAAAATTTTGCTGTTGCACCGGTATATATTTCTCTTGAAGTACACTGGATCGTAGTTTTTTTTTTTTTTTTTTTTTTTTTCTTAAAACTTACTCTTTGCTTATATGTTCTTGTGATTTTAGTTAGAACCACATCTCTGTCGGTTCAGTCTCCTCGTCTGTGAATAAATTGCCCAGAATTCCCTGCTATATAAGAGATCTGATCTTGATAAAATTAGGCATAAATTGGAAACCTTTATAAATGTAACATATTACACTTTATTTAAGCTGCATAGTAGTTCAGGTGGCACTGTGGAGTAATGGATAGCGGCTCGCACTGAGGAATGATTTTAACGTCCCCAAATAACTAGCTCTCATCTTGGATTGCCCATTTTGCTGATGACCTTGCACTCTGTTTTCTTACAATTAACAAGATCGCTAACGTGAAGAATAGACAATACGTATAGTAATTGAAACAGTAATATTAGCCGTTTCTTTATAAGAAACATTCGACATTCATTGACCGATCAGACAGTACTACTGTCGGTTGAAGGTTATAAAATCTTTCTCATAAAATATTTTTTCAAGAAAATAGATTTCCAGAAGCTGTTATCACTCATTTTAGTATTTATAGGGACTATAGTGTGAAATGTCGACATCTTGATTATGTCATTATTTTCTCTTCGAGTTAAATGTAATATCCATTTTAGGTGTTGTTGAAAGGCTGAAAGTGATGTTGATTCTGTTATTTGGCAAAGTTCTTTCTTTGTGTAGCGCCATTTCACGACATCGCTGAGTCCTACAAGTTTTATTCGTCCAAAGCAATTTTTAACCTGTAATCTGAAAAAGTGATAGTATAAAGCTAACAGTTTAGTTATTTCTGAACGAATTTGGCGCCATTCATCACATCTCATTCGCCTTCACCTGACGCGGCTTTTAAAGAACATGACTCGAGTGTTTAAATACTTGTTGCTGTTTTCATTATTACATTGTTTAAATGCCATTTCAGTTTCCTTTCTGAGTGTACCACCAACCAATTGTCATTTGTATATTATAATATAGTTAATATTATGCCTATCGATAATAAATCTCGATTGGCTCTTGTTCTGTGTGGATAGTCTCGCTATAAATGTTGAATAGATCCAGCGAGAAAAACGTTGACGAAAGTAAGTGTTATTAATATCTTTAAAGCGTTTGTTTTTAATATAATTTTCTTTAAAGTATTTATTTGTTTAATTGTTTTTCATACCCTTAAAGCGTTTTGATATCATTAAATGGTTTAATTGGTTTTAATATCTTTAAATGGTTTAATTGGTTTTAATATCTTTAAAGTGTCTAATTGTTTTATTCTTATTATTTATCCTTAAAGCGTTTAATTGATTTAAATTTTATTTTTAATCGTTTTAATAACTTTAAAGTGTTTTTAATAGATTTAAATCATTTGTTTTTTAATATCTTTAAAGTGATTTTAATATCTTTAAAGCGCTTAATTGTTTAATTGTTTTAATAACTTTAAAGCGTCTTTAATAAATTTAAAGCATTTAATTGTTTCTAATATCTTTAAGGCGATTTTAATATCTTTAAAGCGTTTAATTGTTTAATTGTTTTTAATAATTTAAATTGTTTAATTAGTTTTAATAATTTAAAGTGTTTAATTGTTTTAATATCTTTAAAGCGTTTAATTGAGTGTTTTTAATATCTTTAAAGCGTGTTTAATATCTTTTAAGTGTTTTAAATATATTTAAAGCGTTTTTAATCGTTTTAATATCTTTAAAGCGTTCTTAATAGATTAAATGTATTTATTTTTAATATCTTTACAGTGATTTTAATATCTTTAAAGCGTTTAATGGTATAATTGTTTTAATATCTTTAAGACTTAATATATTTAAAGCATTTAATTGTTTCTAATATCGTTAAAGCTATTTTAATATCTTTAAGAGTTTAATTGTTTAATTGTTTTAATAGCTTTAAGGCATTTTTAATATATTTAAAGCATTTAATTGTTTCTAATATCGTTAAACCTATTTTAATATCTTTAAGAGTTTAATTTTTAATTGTTTTAATATCTTTAAAACGTTTTGAATATATTTAAAGCATTTAATTATTTTAATATCTTTAAAGCGGTTTTAATATATTTAAATCATTTAATAGTTTTTAATATCTGTTAAGCGTTCTTAATATCTTTATAGGCTACCATTGAAGAGTGATGGTTAGTATACTTAACATTACTACTACTATTTGATTGGTTCCTAAGAATTGTAACCATTTTCCTGAATAAACTTACCTGGATAAATATTTGCTTCTCTTGAGACCGTCTTCTGAACTGTAATCGGAAAAATACATCAGAAATGTCTTTGAGATATCTGATTAAGAAGCCAAGTAAAAACATTACGTGTCCAACGTTGAAAACGAGGGAAGAAATGTTGAAATATTTGAAACGAAAGAAGATAAATTAGAAAATCATTGTTTTTAATAAGTCAAGAAATGGAGGTTTACAAAACAAGCAACAGTGTTTTGTATTTCTAATTGTGGACAGGGAAATAAAACTGGGATATGAATTTTTTTTCATTTTACTCTTTCTTTTTCTTTTCTTTAAATAAATTTCATAAAATCAAATAAGACATACAAATCGTTCTTAAAACACACATTTTTTTGTAAAAATCAATTACAAAGAAACAACTGGCTTTTGTGGTGGTTATGGTGGCTGTGGTGGTGCTAAGGGAGAAAAAAGAAAGAAAGAAAGAAAGAAAGAAAGAAAGAAAGAAAGAAAGAAAGAAAAAGAAAGAACAAAGAAAATAAAGAAAGAAAGAAAGAAGAAAAGGATAAAAACAAAGAAAGAGGAAAAGATAGAAAGAAAAAAGAAAAGGGTAAAAATACATAAAGGACAACGAACCAAAGGGAAAGAAAAAAAAAACATGGGAAGAAAGAAAGAAAAAGGAAAGAAAGAAAGAAAGAAAGAAAGAAAGAAAGAAAGAAAGAAAGAAAGCAAAGGGTAGAACGAAATAAAGAAAAAGAACAAAGAACAAAGAGAAAGAAAGAAGAAAAGCAAAGAAAGAAAAAGAGAAGAAAGAAAGGTTACAAAGAAAAACGTAAAAAAGAAAGGCGGAAAAGAACAAAGAAAAAGTAAAAGAAAGAAGAAAAATAAGAAAAGAAAGAAAATTAAAAGCATGAATATAGCGAGGGACAGGTTTAGGGAAGAAAGTGAGAGGAGGATAGTGTTTAAGGAAGGTGAAGTGGGGGTGGGGACTAAATCATAAATGCAACGGAGAAGTGGTAACTGTGGTAGGAGAGAACAGAGAGAAGAGCAGGGAGAGGTAGTCGTTTTGATGCTCTGACTAGGTTCTGGAAGGAGAAGTGCGCCGTTTCGTAGGAGTGATGAGCAGGGTGGGTCGGAGGCGGATACAGGCTAGGGGATATCGACCGGTTGTTAATGTACATCGTCATTAAATTCTCGTTGTTTTTGCTTGTTTGTTTTTTTAGTGTTTTATTATTATTATTATTTTTATTTCCGTTAAATCCACAGGACTTAAATCAGAAGATGGGTAACGCCCTTTTCTTCGGATTATCCCAAATTTAATTTTTTTTTCTGCTTGTTTATGATTAATGCTATTAAGTTATTATTTCCGATGGATGATATATCTTGGAAGAAAATATTCAAGAATGGACTCAGTAGAGTGACACGGAGAAGGGATGGAGAAAGAGAAGAAGATTTGTTGAAGCCAAAACTCAAGAGTAAGAAAAAATATTTACGGCCATCTCAGTACATCTAGAAAAAGGGGCCTAAACAGAACGAAATCATTACGTATCCTCCTCAGATTAGAAGGATCAGAAAACTTCGCGAATTTATGAGGTTGGTTCCCAAAGAGGGTTAATGGTAATGTTAATGATATGATCAACCATTCCTATAGAGGAAACATTCAACATTCATTGATCGAACAGTTAACGCTACTGTTAGTTGAAATTTATATTTTTTTTTCATAAAACAGTTTAAAAGAAAAATAGACTTCTGAACCCACTGTTATTGGTTTTTCTAGTATTTATGGACATTTCCTTCCTAACCTTTTGTATAAGGTAGTGTGGAATGTCAACGTCTTGATTATGTCATTCTCCTTTCTAGGTACATGTGCTACTTGTTTTATTTGCTGCTGTTTGAAGCCTTCAAGTGATGTGGTTGTTGTTATTTGGTAAGTTTATAGAACCAGTTTATAGTGTGCAGGATAAGAAAGTTTTCTTTAACACCTAAAGAATTCATTCTCTTGAAGCCATTTTTAAATCAATGAATATGAAAAAAAAAAAGGTTGTATAGCGGTTTTCCAAGCGTAGCTTAGATGTGGCACAAGGGCGAAAGTATGGGACACCTTGTGAGAATCGAACTCACTTCTCAGTCGTAATTGTTCTAGCGGGACAAGCTTGCTAACCATTACACCACGGTTGTATATAGATGATAGTTTGGAATCTAGTCAACTTTAGTCTTCAAAAATGTAAAAGCTATATCAATTGCTATCTACTGTCTTCCTGATTACTCTTCTATAGTTTTCGGTCCTTGGTAATGTTTGTGTTTTCTAATTTCTTCCACATACTTCTTGTATCTTAGTGGCTTTACTGCCTTATTTGGGGTGAATACGATTAAAAAAAAAGATTCTGAACAATTTGGGTTCCATGTATGACTTCGATATGAGAGTCTAGATCTGATAAGGCTATTTGATAACATGATTCGAGTTTTTAAGTTAATGTTTTGGTCTTATGGAATCTTACGGACTAAAGAATTCCAAGCGCAAGTTATCCTGCGTTTGATTTCTTTTTCTGTTAAGATCTATAAGGAAAGGATAGAAAAAAAAATTGCGAAAACGAATTGAACTAAATAAAAACCTACGTAAAGAACTTGTGTAAATGGTTGGCAAAACAGGGATCAGTAATGACAAAACTTACTAAGAGCTGCAAAAGACAGGAAATTATGGAGAGCCATGATCGACCACGTCTTGAAGGGACACGGCACATAGAAATAGTAGAAGTCCATGTTTCACCTCATGAAACTCGATATTCTATTTAGTCCATTTTGTTATGTTGTTTCGCAACATTTTCTATATACCGTGTCCCTTCAGGACATGGGCGATTATAAACTCTGCATGACTTCTTGTCCTTTATCGCTATGTGCGATCACTCCTAATCCCTGTTCTGCCAACACTTTTCACACTTTCTTTACGTTATTCGCTGCTTTCCTCTGTCCATTTTGCCTTCAGTATATTTTGTGAGTGTCAAATTCTCCAAGACCTCCTTCCTCCTTATGTGCCCTAGAAATTTCAACTTTCTACTTCTGATTCTAAGTACCTTTTTTTTGTTTCCCTTTTCCCTGAAATGTTGTCGTTGTTTACACGTATTCTCAGTATCATTCTGTAGAGGCACATTTCTGTTTTAAAAATGAAACATAGCCATCAAAAAGAAAGGTTGTCAAGAAGGCGCCAGGGAACAATGTATGTTTACCAAAATATTCGCACTGGCCATTACTACTTGACTTTTATTACTCATGAGCTCGATCATTACTGAGTGCCAATCACTGATGACCTTGTGTCAGACGAAGCAAAATATAGTAAATATTATAGTACCTTGTTATGGAACGGTGATTGGTCTAACAGACTAGTATTACACTAATGAATTTACTGGAATTCTTATATTGAGAATCTCTCTTTCTTTGATTTCGTATACTGCATTGTGCTACTAATATTTTTGCCATGATGGGTGATATTGTACGAGCCCAGTCTAAGGTTGACCACAGATCAATGCAATTTCTTCTTATTTTTTTCTTCTCTTTTACAGCTAGTAATTTCAACAGTGGCTATAGAAGAGGCAAAGAGAAGTCATTTATGGCGGTGGAAAAGTGACTGAAGTCGAGATGCCAGGTAAGGACCGATAACGTTGCCGTTTCTTTAGATCTTTTCAATAATGCCTAAATATAAAACAACAATTGACTAATGTCCAAATATAAAACAACAATTCGTACCTTCAAAATATCTACTATAATGCCTACAACAGAGGTGCTACTAAGCTCTTGACCTGAGCATTTTTTTTCTTTTTAGCGTTCCTTGGTCAGGCCGAGAACTTTTCAGGGCCTACTTGTAAATGTATTTAAGATGCGCTGTACTATAAAATTAATAATAAACATAATCAGGGGAGGTGGGCAAACAAATATTCTAAAATAAAAAAAGAGAGAAAAAGTAAATAAGTGATAGACATTATAAAGTGTTTTTTTTTTTTAAATATAGTCAGCGGGTAAACAGAATGTGCGGCTAGTGTAACAAATAACAAGCGTGGAAGATAAAATCGTCGAGCTGAGTTCAAATTCCGGGCTAGACTATTGCGTTCCCTTTTATAGATAGCGTATATTTTCCTCACTTTCGCCCAGCTATATGTTTAATAGAAGGGTGGACTAGTCTATATAGCCTTGTATGAAAACCAATCTGACTTCCCAACTGTGGGAAAAGCAACAGAAAAAAAAACCTTTCCACTATCTTTCCTAGTAATGCATGGTAATTTACAGATAATACAGAAAAAGAAACTGTGGAGAGTCATGAACGGCTATATTCTAAAGTGACATGGTGTTAAAAATACGAGGTCAGATGAGGGCTTAAGAAGACAGATATGGATGATGTTAGGATTAAGGAGAAATATGCAAAGAGATTTCGGAGGATTTAGAAAATTTTGTAATAGAAATAGAAGAGGGAAACTATGAAAAAATAGGTAATAAACGAGGGAAAATATTCGCGCGCACCTGTGAAGACAAGTAATGGTGTACAAAGATTGTCCAGTGAGGAAAAAAAAAAAAGATAAGAAGCGTTTTAAAGATATTTTAAAACGTCCCCAAAATGAACTAACATTTCCTAGTGAATAAAGGACACATGGAGTTGTACATTTCTTTCTTTCTTTCTTTTTTTTTTCATATTAAAAGTGAAAGGACGAAAGAAGGGAGGGCCGAAAATTGATGGAAGGAAGGAAGGAAGAGGAAGGAAGGAAGGAAGGAAGGAAGGAAGGAAGAGACGAAGACGGAAGGAAGGAAGGGAGGTACAAAAAATTAAGGAAGGGAGGAAGGGAACAACCAAGAATGTATGAAAGCAAGGCGAAACGAAGACTGAATGAAGGGAGGGACGAATGAAGGACGGAAGGTAGGGATGAACAATGAAGGAAGGGAGGGGCAAAGAATGAAAGAAGGAAAAGAAGGTAGAGATGGCAATGAATGAAGGAAGGATGGGACGAAGAATGAAGGAATGGATAGAAGAGGGAGGACGAAGAATGAAAAGGAAGGAAGGAAGGAAGGAAGGAAGGGAAGGAAGGAAGGAAGGAAGGAAGGAAGGAAAGGAAGAAGGAAGGAAGGAAGGAAGGAAGGAAGGAAGGAAGGAAGGAAGGAAGGAAGGGGGAGGAAGGAAGGAAGGAAGGAAGGAAGGAAGGAGGGAAGGAAGGAAGGAAAAAGAGAGCAGGGACGGAAGGCTTGTAGAGAAATGAAAGATGAAAATAAGCATGATGAAATGGAAAGAAAGGGAAAGACGGGAAGAGAAGAAAAAAGAAAAAGGACAAATCTCAGTCGAGAGTACATATATATATATATATATATATATATATGCATGTGTGTGTGTGTGTACTGTTGGAAGTGTATGCAAATGCACGTACATTTATTTGGTTGTGTGTAAGTGTAGGTGTTCGAGGGCCTGAGCGTCTATTGATTGACGATATTAGATTTAAAATAATGTTAACGAATTCATAAGAAAGGAAAAATGAATTTCAAGTTACATCACTGGATAGATTCAGCAACTTATGCCTGGTCTCTCAGTATTTATATATATATATATATATATTATATATATATATATATATATATATATATATATATATATATCAGGAATCAAAGGATTTCTTATCCAACATTATTTCCTACTACTGCAAATGTTATTTTGTGGATATCCACGTAGAAGTAGACGCCCTGTTTTCAGAAACAATGTAAATCACGTCTACCGATATCAACAAAATAACGTTTGGAGTAGTAAATTTGGCTTACCGATGGACTCGTCGCTTAGCGATGTACAAACATGCTTTTCCTAGAATTTTTAGAATCCAGCCTTAGGATATGTGGGGTCTGCATGTGTCTGTGTCTGTGTGCATAATCAATATGGACATACATTGCTCATATCTAAAAATATATCGTGGTGATTCGTCTGTCCATATCTTAAGTGATGATTATTAGGGTCTTCGGATTTCTCAACATGCCTAATAATATAAATGAATAAATATATAAATGAATGTATTTATATTCATACTTATACATAGCATTATATATATATATATATATATATATATATATATATATATATATAAGCAAATGTAAATGGATATAGATCCGACAGAATGAAGAAAAATTTGGAAAAAACAAACAAAAATCCTTAAATGCAATTATGTTGTTTAAAATGAATGAAATGTCGTATAATATCCATCTCACGCACGGTGAATACTAGACCTGGTTTCTTTAGTATTTCCCCTTTTTTAGCGAGATTAATGCTCGACAAGCATGCACATAAAAATTTTGGATCCTAATAGAATTCTTTTCATTTTCTTTTTCATTCAAAATAATCAAAATTTTTTAGGAATACGTTTTGAAAGCATCGCCCATGTGACGACAACGTGACCATGCTAAACGGAAAGCTGATCATTTTAAAAATTTTCAGTTATCTGTTTTGGATAAGACTTGTTTTTATGTCCATCGTCTTTGTCAAATTGAACTGAATTGTATTTTAATGAATATTGTCCTGAAGAAGGTTTATTAAACCGAAACGTCAGATGTCGACATTTCATTCATTTTAAACAACATAATTGCATTTAAGGATTTTTGTTTGTTTTTTCCAAATTTTTCTTCATATATATATATATGTAAATTTAAAAATCAGATCAGTTGAATCAGCTACGTTGGTCTTAGCGTTACGGTATCCTTAGGCAATTTTTATCAAATGACCACTCAAAGCTTTATTCATGTTTTAATTATTTTTTTTTTAAATAAAGCGTTAAGAGGTCATTTGATAATAGTATAACATAAGGTTGAAAACAAGGTAGATGATTCATCTTATCTCCTGATTTTTAAAATGAAAAGATCTTATTTTCACATTTATCTTATTTTTTGACTCGTATACTGAGCACATTTTAATATCCCTTTTCCTAGCCTGATTTAACACTAGCCATTATATTATATATATATATATATATATATATATATATATATATATATATATATATATATATATATATAAAATAAGGCTTAAACACTAATATTCCATTGAGTTCTACCTGGATTCTATCCTCTTGGAATTATTCTTTATAGATATATATATATATATGTATGTGTATATATGTATATATATTTATATATTTTAGATATATGATTGCATATGTATGTATATATATTTACCACTAATATTATATATATATATGTGTGTGTGTGTGTCTATGTAGGTACCTCAATAAGTCAGTAGTATAATAATAAAAATGAATTTATTTTGCACAGTAATCATTTATTTATTAGCATCAGCTCCGTCTTTGTCAATGCACTTAATTCGGTGGTGAATATTAATCACATAGTTCGAACATTATGCAAAGAAAATTTCAGATCAAAACTCGGCATGCAATTACGTGTCAGTCTTATTGATTCCCTTTCATGTCATGTATATTTGTGTTTGGAATGAAGGTAAGTTCGAGTATTTTGTTTTCAATAAATTATTCGCTTATTTTCAAAAATTTAAGTAATTTCTTTATATAAATAACATATTTAGTATGACTAGATTTTATTCAATATTTACTTCTTTTTATATTTAAAATATAAATAAATATCACTCGCAAACATACATAAACACGTTGATATATAAATAGGTTCGTTAAATATATTACATTCTTTTTCATACAAATGTACGCACACACACACACATATTCTTTGAATTTGAATGTGAACCTGATGTAATGGTAAATATAGAAGACACTTTGGAAAACTCTTTTGATATATTTCCCTAATGAAAAAGCGTCAACAGTTAAAATGGATGTTATTCCAAATAAACCGACAGAAGAGGATTAACGTTAATCATATGAACGCTGGAATTTAAAAAAAAATTATTGCAACTTTATCGTTTTTTAATTTTAGATTTTATTAATTTTACTGAGTTGAAACCTATTAAATCTCATTTCAAATATGATACAGTTAAGTTTTTGTTTGTTTGTTTTTTGTTTAATCCAGCGTTTATATGATTAAAGTTATTCCTTTTGAATTTTACAAATGTAGGTTTGGTTGAAATAACATCCATTTATATGATCAGTGAAATCATTTTCCTTGAACTGTGAAACGTATCAAAATAAGTTTTTCAAATTTTCCTATATACACACACACAGTTACACACACACACACACACACACACACACACACACACACACACACACACACACATATATATATATATATATATATATATATATATATAGTAATTATAAATAATATATATATATATATATATATATATATATATATCTGTATGTCTGATTAAATAAATTACAAACATTATGTCTGCTTATTTTTAGCATAATCCTTTCATATTCGTGAATATTTTCCATATATATATTACTATAAGTTTTATTTATTTTTGTTTTGAATTGGCATCACTATTTTAAAGGTGAAAGTAATATTTTCTAGTCCAGAGATTGAGAGTCCTGCCAAAGAAAATGTGTCTCCTGTCAGATATAGATTTCGAAATGCCCCAACGAGAAAGTGTAATTGAACCTTGCTTTAAGATGACAGCTTTCCATGATCTGATGGTAAAGCAAACAACTCAAAAGCCTGATGGAAAAAGAGATCACGCGTGCGTTTCCTGTCAGTCGGCATATTGTATTTCATAGGGCTCACGATCTATAGGACAGTAGACATTCATTTACTCGTTTAAAAAAGAACAGAGATGTCAGCTCAAACACATGTACCGGCTTAAAAATATCTAGCAATAAGAAAATCTCTCAGATTAAAATATCCATGGATTATATATATATATATATATATATATATATATATATATATATATATATATATATATATATAGATAAACCATATATATTCTATATATATCAAGAACAACATTGAGAAAATATATGTCAAAGTAGAAAAAAATCTATTACGATGCGTTTCGCCCTTTAGTGCTTCAGCGGACCAAATTTGTTATGTTGGTGTGACTGCACATGCGCACAAATGAGGGATACTGAAATTTTTCATTTTTTTTTTTTTTTTTTTTAATCTAGCTGATTTCATTTAGATTCTTTTTCTTTCTATCAATTTTGTTCGTAGATATTCCACACTGTGTTAACAGAAGTTTAAAATTCCCAGCATCCCAAGTTCGTGCGCATGTGTAGTCGCACCAACGTATTAAATTTAGTCCGGTGAATTCCTTAAGGACGAAACGTGCCTCAGTAAAACTTTTTCACTTTGTCATACATTTTCCCCCATATATATATATATATATATATATATATATATATGCACATTTCATTGAATACGACAGACAAGGTGCTTTGATTTAGTTTTTTATACAATTTCTAATGCGATCTAATTATTTTTTCATTTCGGATGATAAATTATACAAAAACTGTCCAATTGTTCTTTTTATCTCAGCGCTTTCGGCTAAACATTTAAACATTTTCAAGGTTGAAATATATTAACTGCTAACAAGAAATAGTTGGCTGTATGTATGTATGTATTTATATAATGTTTTCATTTTCAAAACACGGTCAGGATATTGTGTCCATGTTCATAGTTGATATTATTGAGTGTTGTTTTTTTTGTTTTTATTCCATCATGTTTATCCTTGTTTTTGCATGAAGATGATGCTATTATATTTGTGTTGCTAACAAGTATGTTACGTATAGGGTCCGGTAGGTCTCCATGAGTATTTAAATGAGACCTAATTGAGCTATGGTCAGAAAGGTGTACTGCGAGTTTTTGTGTCAAACATGTTGTAGTGTGGCCTATATAATTATTTACGAACTATATAAATACATACATAGAACAGACTATTTCTTATTAACAATGAATATATTTCAACCTTGAAAATGGCTAAATGTGTAGCCGAAAGCGCTCAGAATAAAAAGAACAATTGGACAATTTTATATAATTTATCATCCAAAAAAAAAAAAAATTAGGTCACATTAGAAATTGCATAAAAATTAGATCAAAGCACCTTTGTCAATGAAATGCATGAAAGAAGGATTGCTGTCTAACTACACACACACACACACACAGATATATATATATATATATATATATATATATATATATATATATATATATATATATATATATATATTAGCAAACAGTTGTGCATACATACATATAAATTATATAATTTCTGTATAATTACCTGAGGTAAAGTATGGAATGTTTCATTTTGTGTAAATAATGCCCATGTACCTGCCAAAGTGTTGACGTGGATTTCATTTATATATTTTGTTCAGGTATCTCTAAATTGCTAATTTCATAACAAGCCCGTTTTCTCAACATGGCGGGAATGTCATTGTGAATTTAAAGACAATATATTAAAATTTGAAAAATAAAAATCTTAAAGAACAATGTCCTAAGACAGAATTATATCTGCCTTGATTTTTCCATTTGAGATCATCAGATGTAAAAGTTTGAACTGACAACATGCTTTAACAAAACGCCAGTATGACGTCAGGTCGAGTTTATCATCTTATCATTTGATAAATAACATCTTAAAGAGGAACAGAAAATGATCATATGCTAAGTCCGATGATAAAAAGAGAATCTATGGGTAAAACATAAATAAATAGTCTTGAATCAACCATTCATTTTCTTGTGTAAAAAGCAGAGAATTTATTTAAAATTAGCTGTTGTTTGTTGTATTCAGTAACATCTTACTCAATGAAAACCCGATGCCAATATATATATATATATATATATATATATACGATTTACATATAAATAAAAATGAAATTCATCAAGATATCTGCCAAACATTGGTTTTAAAAATCACAGACAAAAAAATATCCTGATTAATGCAGGTTAAGTTAAATATAAGTTTAGCGAACTATTTCAATTGATTACTAATAACTATATATATATATATATATATATATATATATATATATATGATAAAATATAGTTTTAAGGTATGCTATATTTATGGGTAAAAGTACACAATATCTGGGATAGGGCGTATAGTAAATATAAAAGAGGACATTGAAGTCAACATCCAAAGGCGACAGTCTGTTTCATGCCAAACGCAATCGTCATTAAAAAAAAAACAAAAAACATATCGATTATTAAGACTGACTATAACTGTCGCCTTTGGATGTTGTCTTCAATGTTTACTTTTATATATATATATATATATATATATATATATATATATATATATATATATATATATATATATATATAAACGCTATTTTAGTGGGTACACATATTTGAGTAAAAGTTGCGTTTATTTTTTAAGAAGAATATTTATTTATTTTTGTCTACCGGCCTGAATAATCGTGGAAATCTTATTAATGAAAAAAATACGTCCCAGTTGACGAAAATATAATAATATAATATATTATAATATATTATGATATATTATAATATATTATATATATTATAATATATAAATATAATAAGATTATTAATATAATTGTATATAATATTATTATATAATATTATATTATATAACATATAAATATAATATTATTAATATAATAATATATACTATATTTTATAATATAATATAATAAAATATAATACATTATATATATAATTATAATAATATTATTAATATAATTATATATATTTTAATATTATTATATAATATAATATTATTATAATATAATATTATTAATATAATAATATTATATAATATAAAAATTAATATAATATAATAAAATATAATAATATACTGTTTTAAAAAAATAAACGAAGGTCTACTCAAATATTCGCATCAACTACAAATAATATATAATGTGACAAAATATTATTAATTATAAAAATACAATACTTCTTCAGAAATTACACACACACGGACGCACACACACGAACGCACGCACGCACACACACACATGATATTTGCAGGCCCTCAGATAGCCGAGGAAAAATTAATGTTAGAATTTTAAAACTGGAGAGCTACCGACTGCACCTTTTAAACTGTGTTACACGTGCCACGCCCCAACACACACATACACGCGCGTACACACGCACACGCACACACACACACTAACACACACACACACACATATAGATAGATAGATAGATAGATAGATAGATAGATAGATATAATTGGTCACTGTGTTGAAAAAGACTGTTAGATGCTAAAGATTGTGTTGAACTATGAAACAGACTGTCGCCGCTCGGTGTTTACCTCAGTTTCTCATAACCTTTTTACATACGTTCTGTTTCTGATATTGACCACTTTTACCCATAAATATAGTATAACTTAAAAAAGTAATTTTATTATACATATATATATATATATATATATATGAATAAAAAATGACAATAGGAAAACTGGTAATTGCTGACGCGTTTCGTCCAATCTGGACTTTATCAAAGCAAAATACGAAACGCGTCAGCAATTACCAGTTTTCCTATTGTCATTTTTATTCATAAATATTGTCTTCTCTACTGGTTAAATCGGAGGAATTTTTTATATATATATATATATATATATATATATATATATATATATATATATATATATATATATATATATAATTTTACTGAAATACACAATTTCTTTGTCAAATACCAGTGGACCGATACATGAGTTCATACGGGTACTCTGGCGCTGAGTTATCCTTAGTAGGACCGGACCATTTTACAGACTATTGGTCTGGATCAGTCCAAATTCTCGCAGTGTTCCAAACTTTTGGGCTTGTGATAAATAGCCATCGCCTTTTGCACAAGTACATACGGCAATCATTAAAGGAATGTTTGAAACTGAAATATGTTTTTATATGGTTTTGTTTATAGTAATAACATAGCGTATCAAATAGGCATCTGTAAAATGTAATGAATTCTATTGCACTTATGAAAACATACCCAACACTTTGTGTGTGTGTGTGTGTGTGTGTGTGTGTGTGTGTGTGTGTGTGTGTGTGTGTGTGTGTGTGTGTGTGTGTGTGTGTGTGCTGAAAATACTGGTTTTAAAAGTTGGAATGTTTTTTGGTATGTTATATTTGAGATCACTAAATTTGTCATTTAGTAGACATCGGTTAATCTCCTATTTTTCTCTTTTATCTCCTTTTCTTTCTTATCTCTCACCCTCTCTCTGTATATATTTCTCTTTCTCTTTCTCTTTCTCTGTCTCACACACACACACATACACATACATATACACATCCTTCCGAAGGCTTTTCTCTCACCAATTCCATCTCTCCTTCGTTTCATCTTTATCTTCTCTTTCTCTTTCCCACTCTCTCTTTCTCTGTCAATTTCCATCTCTCCTTTTAGCTTTTCTTGCTTGACTCTCGAGAACACTCATTGGTTGTGAGTTAGACAATGTCGAGCTTTCTCATTTAAATTACTTCCTTGCAATAGAAACCATTCTCGTTAAACTCTAGTTTTGCTATTGTTATTATTATTATTATAATTATTATTGTTGTTGTTGTTGTTGTTGCTGACGTTGTTGTTCCTAACACATTAGTTATTCAAAATTATCCACATTTGTTATAGTTTGCTTAGTAAAAATAAAATAAATAATAAACATTATTATTGTTGTTGTTTTAATTTTTAAATTTGAGATTCGGATAAACGATTGAGATTTTACAGGTTACGGGAATGCTGCAATTTGTAAGATTACCGAGGAAGTCATTATAATTATCAGAGGACTTGCTGTCACTCGATCTCCAACTTCAATCATCAAATATCTAGTTGAGAACTGGTAAACACATGAAATTATTATTATTATTATTATTATTATTATTATTATTATTATTATTATTTATACACTCACGCCAGATGTCTGACGGTCATCGTTAGAAATTGAGTGATTGCATTTCACCTCCTTCTCTTCCTCCATTGTTTTCTTTTTCTTAAAAGTGTTGTTATGATGGTGGTGGTGGTTGCAGTGTGAATCGATGATTATTTATATATTTGTAATGCTTCTTTTTTTTTTTTTTTTGTTATTATTGTTGTTGGTGTTTGTTAACCGTCCGCTCCCACCCTCATAACCATAAAAGAAAAACATCAATAAATTGTCACAAATGTTCATTCATTTTCTTTCTTGTTATTGTCTTTAAATAATTGTTTTTCTTTTACCGTTTTTTGTTTTTTTTTTTTTGTCCTTCGTTATCTTTTATAACCGATTGTTTCATTCTGCTTTCAATGTTCAATACTTCCGTTTACTTATTCTTTTTTTTTCTGATTTGTCCTTTATTTATATTTGCCAGTTTGTTTTTTGTTCTCCTCATATATATTAATTTATATATATACATATATATATATATATATATATATATAATTTTTTTTTCTCTTGAAAAATGTTTTATATCCATTTTTTTTCACTTTGCTTATAATCCAGTACGCCGTAGAAACAAACAAACAGTGTATATTAATTACAGTGCCCTGAAAAAAAAATATGTAAAAATTTAAAAAAAAAAAGTCCAAATGGACAGTTTATTACAAACAGTCACCATAAGCGGTAGTTGGGAAGGGGGTGGTATTTATTATTTAAATCATTATTATCATTATTATTATTATCATTAATATTTCGTTTGTACTTTTTTTTTTTTTGAGGAATGGGGATTTTTATTTATCATTGAATGTTTATGCCATTGTATTACTTACAGTTTTTTTTTCCGTTGTTTCAGGTTTTCAAATATTATTTGCAAAAATTCTTCATTGTTTTCTTAATGTTTCTTTATGTTCACTTGTGTAATTCGCGTTTTTTCCACAGGTCTTTGCTTTTTGTTTTAAATAAATTAATGATTGCGTATATTTGTTTAACTGTGTGCGTTTATTTTTAAATAGATATTGATATTAAGATAATAAATTAATCTGAAATTTTATACAATATTTTTTCCACTCTGTTCATAATTTTTAATAAATAATGTTGTCTTTATTGACAATATAAAGATTCCCGCTACTCAGTTCCTTTTTTTTTCTTTTTAACATCCTCTTTATTATTAGCATAATTTTATTAGATTTATTTTTCTTAAAAAATATTAACAGATCTTTCTTTAAAAATTGTTTTCCGAGTCCGCCATTTTGAAAGGGGCAAATGATTTTAATACATATTTCTCTTTTTAACACCTGTTTTAAAAAGAACATTAGCACACACATTTTATACATTTTATATATATATATATATATATATATATATATATATATATATATATATATATATATATATATATATATTGTGGTAGAGTGTGTCTCTGGTTCTTTAAAATATTTCAAATCTGAGCAATTCTGTGTAAAAAGTGAATCTATACTACACTAAAAGTTTTTGCAGTTGGATGAACTTAGTTATGTCTTATTTTTTCATAATTATCGCAGGTAAAAGCCAGAAATTGGAATGCTGACCTTTTGACCTATCTACTTGATAGATCGAGATAGCGCAATACGCTTTAACCCCCCCCTTTACTTGGCTTCTACTCTACTAAGCTAAACTTGGAAATTTAAACAAAAAAAAAGTCTTACTGAGGAGCAATAGATAATAAGTTAACCATAACAGTCCATTATTGTTATAGTGTTGTATTCTTTCTGGGTGCTCCAAAACTTGTGCCTTATGCCAGCCTATTCTTAATAAATATGTATTTTAATATAATCTTTAAACAATCGTTATCTTATGCTTTTAAATAAATTTTCTCTTTAGAAATAATCTTTTTGAAATTTCTTTTATCTTTCTTAACTCTCTCTCATTTGAATAATCTCTTCGTAAAAGACATGCGCATAGTTGTAGTATTCGTATCCATATCTAAATACAAGTATACACATATGTATGTATGCATATTGTAATAGCGTAGCTAGTTGAAGGAGTGTGTGTATGTAACGGTGTGTTGAAAGTGAACATATGTCACTTTAAGAATGGGCGTATCAGACTATATTGTTTATTGTTCAGTATAAGTAAAAATTCATTGTTTTCCTTTTTGTTTTTTGTTTGTTTTTTTAATTAATTTTACTCTTCGGTAATAATTTTTAATTTTCATTTATTTTTTTTTTTTTTTAAATTTCACTTTTAAATTTCATTATATATCGTTTCTTTCTTTTTCTTTTTTCCTTCTTTATTTCTTGATGAACACGATTTCAATGTGTAGCCGTAGCTGAGAATTTCATTCTCTTTTGTTTTTGTCGCTGGTTACAAAACCAGACCCTCACAACGTTTTTCTTTAAGTCTAACTTTTCGGCGATCTGCGCAATTTTTTCGCCTGACGGGCGCGGCTGAACGGCGAAGTAGGCCTCTAGGGAACGTTTCTCCGGGGCCGCAATCGACGTCCGCTTTCTTTTTTTCTCGCCATGAATGGGCATAACCCCGGCTTCCCCTTCGACCTTCTTCTCCCTGGCCTGTTTTTCGGCCTCTTCCAGCCACGCCTGAAGTACAGGCTTTAGCGCAATCATATTATTGTGACTCAGTGTCAGAGATTCGAACCGACAAATTGTACTCTGACTGAGCGATCCGACTCCCGGTAGTTTCAGGTTTGCAAGAGCTGCACCCACATCAGCCTGGGTAACGCCGAGTTTGATCCTCCGCTGTTTAAACCGTTCAGCAAACGCTTCCAGCTCGCGGGGGTCACAGTCTGAATTACGCATACTTGAATGGTGTACGCCCGGATGGTGGGCAGAGAGAGTATGGTGGGTGTTCATCGTGTTCTGGTGACTTGTGTACATTGGTGTGTACATTTGGTGATTGTGGTGACCGTGCGAGCTGGCACTGGGGTGATGCTCAGGCATGCTGCCAAAAGGCATGCCCCCAGCATTTGTGGACAATTGGTCAAGCATTGTGTCCGCTGTTGGGCCAAAGCTGTGCAACGCCGAAGGCATTTGGCTTCGTGATGTATTCGGAGTGTGTCCAGTAAAGTCCGAGTGACCATAGATGCCGTCATGTTTCATGATTTGGGGGGATGTCGTTTTGGTGATGTCCACAGCAGCCAACGCTTCAGCCCGGGCCAGGAGACCGCCATCGTCAAAGCCACCAAATATATTACCCTATAAAAAGAAAAGTAGAGAAAGCGATTAGTAAGATATTCAAAAGATAGAATGCACAATACTTTTATAAAATTTGTATGGAAAATTACTTTTTTTTTCAGTTTGGATTACCATTCACATCTTTCTACAATACAACAAGAGACAAAATGACAGTAAGATTCTTGGAACGATAATTATTTATCTGAAACTATAGAATGGATTTTTCGAAGAGAAGTTCAGAAAAACACACTTAATAGTTCGAATTAAATAATTTAAATAAAGGTAGTTTTCTGGGCAGTGTAATGGGGACATAAAGTCGCTTATATTTAAAATCAAAAAGAGAAATAGTGTGGACATGGGATTGAATACTGTATGGCGACTGTCAGATTCACACTTCAATATGATCTTCAGATTTCGATATTGAAAACATTTCCTCTATCAATATTACAAAATTTTAAACAATATGGAATGATCTATTTTGACATGTCACTAATTTGTGTTTAGATACATTGTATTTAGTTTGAATTTTTCTAGTTGAATTGTTTACCTATATTGCATATGATCCATTATTGTATATAATTAGACTATAATAAAATTTGAATTTGATATGAGTGTTACCTTACGAAAATTGAGATGTACTAGAGTGAGTGGCCCCGTGCCATAGAATTGTGATGGTAGTGGAGGGAGACGAGACCCTTGCACCGGCCCTGAGTGCATGACCAGCATAGCTCTCTTCCTCATGTAACTGCGCATGCGTGCAATGCGTGCATATCCAAGCAAATATGTATAATAATTTACAGACCAGGAACTATTTTTCAGTGCCACATTTAGCCTTGTATTATTTGGAGAAGAGTCGTTTGAATAAATGCGCCTATATATCAATCTCTTAAAACAATTGGGATGATGATCAACGGTGATGACACCCCCCTCTTTGTGTCACGATGCCTTGTGAGAAAACGTTTTTGTCTTCTTTTGTTTTGTATATTGGCCTCCTACAGGAAAATCCATGTCGAAATTAGAAAGAAAAAAGAAAGAAAGAAATCCTGTATATTAAGAAGTTGTGAAGTCCCTTAATCGCCCAGGTCCTGAAGGAACGTGACATATGAAGGAAGAGACATTATACGATAATGTGTCCCAGAAATTTCCGTTGTCTCTTTCTGATTGTAAGTATACATCTTTCGTTTCCATTTTCTTTGAAACTTCCTCGTTCAAATTTCGGTCTAGTCCAATTTCTTACTCATGTCCTTGGGAAAACATAAATTAATTTCTCCCCACCTCCTCCCATATATGAGTGAAGTAGTAGGGTAGACTAACTCTCTAGCCCTGAAGGGTAACCAGTATAAAGAGAAGGAAAACTCCTAATTCTAAAACAGGTAAAAGGTAATAAAAACAAATAATCTGAATTATAAAATAATAAAAAAAAATCGATTTGTATAAAATACAGAATAAATATTTCAATACAAATAAATAAAATACAAGAAGAAATACAGAATAAATAAAAGAAGAAATACAGAATAAATACAAATAGATAAAAGACATGTCTCATTAAATAATTTAGACACGTTTTGTCTACTTATTTTTGATCGGATCCCCTCGTAATTACGGACAAATTTCTTAGTATTCTCATAAAAGGAAGAAAGAAAATTAACATCTTGATGCATATTCATTTTACATTTCGACATTAGCACAATGTCCTCATTTAGGGTCTTCTTTTAATAAGGATTCTAACAAACCTGTCCATAATTACGACAAGATCCTATTAAAAATAAGTAGACAAAACTTGTCTAAGTTATTTAATGAGACATGTCTTAATGAAAACAACCTGACAAAACATACGCACTATATACATATTACCTAGAACGAGCAACAATCTGAACACCAGAACACTCGGTCACGATGACTTGTGACTTCGTGCTAGCACTGCTAACGACGGGCTCAAAATGTTCTGTCTACCCAATTTCACTCACTAGGCTTGAGTGGTATGGTTTTTAGGCACTTTCCAAAGGTGCCGCACGTTGGGATCGACCGCGATTCAGTCTGATAACATCAGGAATTCTCCTTCCTGACAAATCGACCACGGCCTCTAGCCACTCGGCCACGCGCCCATAATATATATGTCAATTTTTTTTTTTCATTTCTCTATTCATCTCTTTATTTATCATTTGTTAGTTTATAGCCTTCGCTGGGGTATTTTATTCCGTCTGGAAGTGCTTACACCTTATAATTGGTATAAGTGGTAAGATTTTTGCCTTAACCTGCTGAGAGGGAATGTTACCAAAATCATCTTAAGTGAAAATCTCACAAACGCAGATAGAGAGAGAGAGAGAGAGAGAGAGAGAGACGCACAAAAGTTAATATATATGTCTACAATTTTTCAAAGGTCTTGCTCTGAATGTTTCTATCACAAAATGCAAAAGACTAATTTGTCAAAGAACAATAAAATAGCACCGATATTCAAAGAACTTAAAACGATTACTTGGTTACTTATTAAAGTGCATCATTTTACTTACAATTTTTGCTACGTGCCGCAGACAATAGTCAATGCATTATTTAAACAAATTAACCATAAATAATCGACAATGCCCTTTTATAGTCACCTGTCACTTATTGCCAAAGTAAGGCAGTTTTCACATTGATATAAGTAGCCAAGCAATCGTTCGAAGTAACGCAGTTAATCGAAATAAGTGCTACATAATTTGTTGCTTAATGAAATGTTAAAAATGAACGAAAATATCAATGAAATTTTGTTTCTGGATATATATATATAAGTATTTCAGTTCAATCATAAGATTAAATATGAATAAATAATAACTGGATTTCATACAGTTACGTCTCTTTCCTCTCACAAAAATAAATAAATAAATAAAAAATAACTGTTTCCATTGCTTGCACACTTTAGACTGTCTATTCCGTCAACAAAATCCAGTTCCAGAAGTGTCGATATTACTTCATCACGGGTAAATTACATGGTGTATCTCAAGATGGTGTAATGGTTAACAAGCTTGTCTCGATAGAACAATTACGACTGAGTAGTGAGTTTGATCCTCACTGGGTGCCCCATATTTTGGCCTTGTACCACATCTAAGCTTTGCCTAGAAAACCACCAGCCGCTATAAATTACATCTGTTTACCGACCGCTATGTTAGAGTATTCGCTGAAATGTTCATATATATAGAAAAATACTTATATTCTGGCCTATGTGTTTGCGTTGATTGATTGATATTTTTACAGCTTATCAAACCTAAGTGGGATATTTAGAGCCGAAACAGTTTTTTTTTCATTTTCGAGTGAATATTGCATTAACAATTTTTTTTTAGAATAAAAATGGTTTTCCCAGATACAAGGAATTCGAACTCGGCTCCGTATTTTCGCATCCCGAGCCTTTATCCATTAAACCACCCACATATCCACATGTCTGCGCATGTATGTATTTGTTTACATATCAGCTTCATGCTGCACTTCCGTTTGAGTGTCTATTTATTTTGCTGTTACGAAAACCGACTTCCGTCGGACATTGTTGAGAAGTGGCTCACGTTTATTTTTGTTTGTTTTTTGTTTGTTGTTGTTTTAAGGCATCTGCTGCTAAATCTATTCCGCCATAATTATACACATACGCACAATGTTTCAGCTGATACCTTCGTCGATCCTAACCAGGTGTTTTTTTGTTTTGTTTTGTTTTCTTTTTCAAATAATTACCTATAATTGGAGAATGGAGAACCTGAAAATGTTATGCAAAACAAAATCAAGCATAGGTAGATGTAACTAACTTCTCCGCGCAATACACGGAATTTGAAAATCTATCAAATCGAGGATGTCATTGTTCTATCGGCACTTTAATCAGTAACGTTTTTAGCAATCAGAGACATTTGGGGCGAGGTAATGGTTAATGTGTTTGTGTAGAAGGGGAGGCGAAACACAAAGTGAATGCGAGGAAAATGTTTAAAAAAAAAAAATGCTTCTCCCTACCGATTTACAAACTTTCAGAAAATATTTTTTAAAAATTGCTATAATACTTTAATACCCTATATACTCGTATAAATTCAACCCCCCTAACTATGGGTAAATAGTAAGGTATTCTGGGCTCTGTAGGTGAAAGGCAACTCTGAAATCAAATCCGGAGCCGGTGTCCCTAAGACGGTCCGATGTCATGTTCAACTTCGTTCTGGCAACTCCTGCGACGACGTCAGTGCCATGCTGCATTGGACTCTGCCTTTCTCTTGGACAACATCGGTGGTGTGAAGAAAGGTGACGTAGTACACGGAAAACTGCCAATCTCTCATAAAAAAACAAAAACAAAAAAAAACAAATTCTGCGCAGGCCTGCGTCCTGGAGAATGCATAATTCTTCGGGCGCAGATCCATGATCTCTTGAGACTGATAGATGCAATAATAATAATAATAATAATGATAGCAATAGTAATAATAACTAGAGTATAGTGCAAGTTATTATTACCCGTTTAACACGCCAACAATAGTAGGTCGCACTATACACAAGTAATGTTTTCCAAGAGGTTAAAAATGTATTTTCGGTGACCGGTTGCACTATACACAGGCAATTTCTTTCTGGAGGGATTAAAATTCATGTAAAATATTCCGGTGTCGCAGTATGCATAAAGTCGTCTTATACACGAGTATATACGTCAAATAAAATATACTACTAAATTAAACAGTTTGCCTCAAATAATTGTTGTCGTAGCAACGACAAGGTAAGTCTCAAATAACCTCCAATGATTTAATGCATATTTTTTTTTCAATGAGAGTGTCTTTATTTCCATTTTTTTAAAGACTAATTGTTATTAGTCCTGTTCAACCTGTTTTAAGCTAAGCGTAGCTTATACGGGATACAATGCTGCAATTACATTGGATCAAGGATCGTACTCAGTACTCAGACGTAATTTAGTGGGACAAGTTTGCTAAGTTTATCGGAATTAGCTATAGCTTGAGTACTTTGCGGGATTTAGAGTTTGACAAACCTCTGAGTTTGCATAGCCTCGTCTGAGTTCCTCACCGCCCGAAGACAGAGAGGTCGTCGACAAGAAGATTGGCAGAGTGTCGTCTGGGGAGGTAGACAGCCATCCGTCTACGGGGAAGTTTTTGCCCGAGTGTACGAGATTGGAAAGCCCCACGTTTAAAACCGGCCTTTACTTTGGGTAAATACCGAGTTGTTTTTTGTTTTTTTTTCGAGTTTTTTTCGGAAAACTAAGATGATTAAAATATGTATCAATTACTCTTCTAGATTATAGATTATTTAATTGAATGATGAAAGTGGGAAAGCTCTATGTAACACGTTTCATGATCTAAAAGGACTTCAGAACGAAAGGCGTTTACCTTAAACTTTCCATTTTTGTCATTCAATTATCCTGATGATATATAGCTATTTATGTATCATATTCTTCGATTATAGCTTATAAAAGACAGTGGGATGTAAACCTGGTGGCCAGTCAGAAATCTGAACATGAAACATGACTGCTCCCATCCCTAGAATCTCCTCCATCTAATTAAGTGCCACACGTGATACACAATTGGGCGATCGTGCCTCTCTCGATTCATGACTGACAAGACAGAAGATTTTCCCGCAAGGCAGTTGCTGTTTCATTCTGCGGTAGCCTGTTTGCCAAACAAGGCTATAGGGCCCAGTCTGTCCCGCTATTTAACCCATAGCTGGGGGTTAGAGATGGATTCAAACTTCTCCCAATGGTATTTGCACGTAAGTGAATGTAACGAAACCGACTGGAATTCGAACTTAGCTCTCCGAATTCTCATTACGCCACAACGCACATTTTCAGAATATTGAATAATTATCTGGACATTGTCAAACAATGAAGAAACGTTTGGAGTGGTTGAACTCAGATTATCAACCTTTTAAAGGCGAAATATATTTCAGATTCTTGGAGATTGTTTACCTTCTTCCTAATCAGTCTAAGTACTGACCGGACCTGACATTGCTTAATTTCTGTGATGGAATGAGAACTGGAGTAGGCGAAACGTCTGAAATCTGAAGGCGATGACTGTTTCCATCACTACCGTTGTGTTCGGAACAAATGTAAAGAATCTTGCAAAAACGCTTTGTAACGAATTGGAAACAGGACTAAAAACAACCAGAAAACATATAAAGTTCCTGAAGAGACTACTGGAATATTAACCCTCTGTTAAGTACCTGAGGAGCTCACACGTGATACACGCTTGGACGTTTATGTATCTTTCGATACAGGACTGACGAGGCAGAGTTTTTTTTCTCCGCAGTAGGTTGCCACTTTTATTTGCGGTAGACTGGTTGCCAACCAAGGCTAAAGAACCTAGTTTGTCCTAGCTAAGGGGTGGAGGAACAGATGGATTCATACCTTTTTCCAAAGGTATTTGTGCGTATGTGAAGCAAACAAACTCGAATGGAATTCGAACCCGGCAATCACACCGCAATAGACATCCTATTAGTAAGTTTTCTTCAAATCCCTCATTTAAAATATTTTCGCTATATCAATGTTCTGACTTTACTTGTTATAATACTGTCGTGTGCGTTCTTTCTGGCTTTTATAGGATTTTGAAAAGAAAAGGTTTTATTTTGAAGTTAAAAGTCATGGACTATGTATAAAAAAGTAGTTTTCAAGGAAACTTAAATTGCATGCCATATGACGGGATTTAGTTTTTCGTGTACGAGATTTTGACCAAATCAACCCTGTTAATCACGGAAAAATTAAGCCCAAATCTTCACTTATAATGTCTCTTCTTCATTCTACATTTGAGAGGTGAATTCAATTCTGGTCAAAAATTATTATTGATATTCTAATGGGGTCTAAGAGAAAGAAAATCCTTTCCATATTCCATGAATGACTTCGGTACTTCAGCAGATTTTGGTGACGGCAACTTCTTGATCTCTTGCTCATGGAGTCTTTTAACTAGTCTTTTCGGGACTATTCCAAGTGCTACGATAACAAACGGTGCAACTGTCATCGGTACGATTCAAAACTTTTATAAAGCACTCTAGCAAAGTAGAAATATTATTTCAGCTTTTCACATCCTTTTTTTTAAGCCTTTCACCCCAAGTAAGGTGGGAGTGCTACTAACACGCAGTGGGGTTACAGAGAGTGAATGTTACAGAAAAGACTGGGCATAGCGGGGATTGAGGAAAGGATAAAAGATGAACTGGGTTCAAGTCAACAGAAGAAAATTATTATCATTATTATTATTATTATTATTATTATTATTATTATTATTATTTCGTTTGATTTCTGTTCTGCACTCATTTCCTTCTGGGGCCCAACTAGAGACCTAAGGTCAGAAATGGCATCATGAGAATTTACACTGACCATTTTTGTAAAGAAAACATAAGATTCCACACATCTTACTTAAATATTACCTTCGTAAAGTGTGAGCTGTACATTATTTTTTTTTGTATTTCTTTAAGGCTTGGGCTACAAGGAATCCCTTCAATGAGTCTATCGGAATCTTTCCAATCAAACTGAGGGCTCCAACTACACTGGAATTACTGATGTTCTCAACTGCCATATTTTTGAGATTTCTACTTCAAGTTCCTTGTATTTTGATACATTTTTTTGAAGATCTTCAAAGACACATTACAATCTGCTGGGCCTGCCATGTTACTTATATTTATTATTATTATTATTATTATTATTATTATTATTATTATTATTATTATTATTATTCCAATGGCATTAGCGCAAATTGAGAGAAACAGAATTGAACTCGGAACTCCAAATTCTCTTTCAGCGCCAAAACAATCATTTATAATATAGATTATTATTATTAAGATGAATCGTGCTTTCCTTCTATCGTTTTCTGTTATCGTTACAATTGTTTTTTTTTTGCGGGGGGGGTTATGATTACGATTATGTATAAAATAAAAGCCAATTTAAAGAAAGACATCCTCGAGGCAAAGATTATCTCCTATAGAGATTTTTATAACGGGGGGGGGGAAATACTTCAGATACAAATAAACTAATAAAAAGAAAAGGACAAACAGCAGAGCCTTGAAAGGAAGGAAATCGTCAAGTCTTGGGAGAGAATCGAGAGAAACGGAAAGAAGAAACATGGCATGGTGCGGTAGGGGAGAGTTGGTTGGGTGGGTATGTGGACGGGCAATGGGGTTGGTTCGGGAAGGGAGAAATGACGACTGTAATGGCGATGAAGATGATATGAAAATAGAAAATCTCTTCATCAGACAAATCTCCTTTAATAAGATGCCAGTGATAACGATGCCAGTGACGTGTCCTGCTATACATGTTGGTGGTAATGATGATGATAATGATGATGATGGTGTTGATGATGATGACATGGCGAGTGGGTGTGAAGATATGGAAAAGGAACGGAGTGATGTAGTGGGTAAGATTTCAAATCAGGATAACTGGGGAAAAATATCTTTTCGATATGGCAAATGAAAGATGATAGTTTCAATATTATGGCATTTTATAGCTCGAAATAAATATCTAATCATTCCTTTCATTTATTATTATTATTATTATTATTATTATTATTATTATTATTATTATTATTATTCCGCACAGCATATGATGTTGATTGCTGGTAAGAAGTTTATTTTCAGGGCAGCTCTCGCGACTTAAGAAAATAAACCGATTATTCTTTTTTTACATCGAGAAGCTTTATCCAATATTTTTCGATATATTACCTCTGTTCTGAGTAGCCACACTTTTTGTAATGACTCTATTCGCAAATCATATTCCAGTACATCCAAGGCTTTTTCCAAGGATTATTATTATTATTATTATTATTATTATTATTATTATTATAGCCTGTCATTACCTCAGATAAATAATGGATGATTTCGTTTTGATTGCGAAGACAGAAATATATCTATTATAATAAATGCGAATATCAGTGTTTCGCATATTTTTCCAACTTAAATGGACAAAACTCTATAACTTTCAATAGCTCATTTCAAATGAAAAAAAAAGTACTGTTCTCAAATTACAGTTTCAAATTAAAATTATCCGTGTTTTCAACTTTAATCCTAGAGGCCGTAGCTCAACTCATCATACTATTTTGGAATCAGGTCGACTCCTTGAGCAAATTAAAAACCTTCCGAGTTATATCCGGACCCACAATCCTGAAATTTTGGATTCCCTAGTTTTCATTACTGCAACTGTTTTCGGCGATTTTTTACATGATTATTTGCAACGTAATTTTTGTGTACGATAACAATTTTTAAAATTTGGAAATAAATTTGGGAATAATCGAAATTAATTGCTAAATCCAGCGAAAATCCTCCATGAAATAAAATAAATTGTTAGTACGGAAAGTAAGGACCTACGTACATCAAATTGTCTTTAAATTAAATGGCAGCAAAAGAATTATCGTTGAACTTTTAAAAGGTAAGCATAAATATTAATGCAATACTTAAATGCGGCGATCAATTTTGACTTCTTCTGTAGTTTATTGTTGCCTATCGCAGACGGCATCAATATGCCTCGCAAAAAGAAATCTTCACCAACAGACGACCAGATTGCAATCAAAAGAGCCAAGGGTGCAGCAAGAAAAAAAATCGCCTGCAAATGAAAACCCAGATCAAATGACACCAAAAAGGGCTACTGGATATATATATATATATATATATATATATATATATATATATATATATATACATCAGTATACAAAAGAAATCTCCACCAACAGAGGACCAGATTGCAATAATAAGAGCCAAGGCTGCAGTGAGGAAAAAGAAAGTCCCGTGCAGATGAAACGGCAATCAGGAGAACTTCCAATACTGAGAATATGCAAAGACATTGGGAGTCTCAAATTCTTATACAAGCCGAAGGTTCAATCAAGAACTGGCTTAAATGCTTAAATTAGCTTTTAATATATATATATATATATATATATATATATATATATATATATATATATATATATATATGGTTGGTCATGTTGCAAGTATGAGTGACGACAGCTTGACAGTGGACAAAGGACTGCTGGACGGCTGTGGCTCAGGCATAAAGGCAAACTAAAGAATACCCTCTAAGCTGTCAATATGTCTCATACTAACTTCGAAAGAGTTGCCCTATATAGGAATAACTGGAATAATTGTGTCAGAATTGTATCAAAAATTTCGAAATCTGTCGAATTGACCAGCTAAGAGACAAAAGACAAGAGTAAAAAGCGTCAGCAAACATTCCTGTTGCTATGTCCCGAGATCCGTCACTGTGACACAATATGTCGACTTGTATGCGGGGCACTAGTGTCACATTCTACACAAACCGAATGACCCTAATAAGTCGAAATGGAGTCCATCATATATATACACACATATATATATATATATATATATATATATATATATATATATATATATATATATATATATATATATATATATATATATATATATATATATATATATATATATATATACTAAAAATATTTTATGTACCAAAAAGTCTGTACAAAAAAACTTATTGTATTGACTAAAATGAGGACTGGAAAATATTTAATAAAAACTGAATGAGGTTATCAGTCCATATGCGTCGAAATCGAGTCCATCACACACACACACACACACACACACACACACACACATATACATATATATATATATATATATATATATATATATATATATATTTGTTAGAAAGATTCTGTACAAAAACTTATTATATAGACTAAAATGAGGATTGGAAAAAAAGGCACCTAATATTTAATATAGTGATATTTATTTGTGATAAATTAATTTTTACAGAGAATTAAAATTTTGTTACTTACAACTGGATTTTCAGTGTTTTTGTCTTAAAAAAATAATTTTTTGTCTTCCTTTTTTAAAAACGTTTTTTTTAGTTAACCGGTTTCGCTTTTCTCAAAGTTTTTTTTTTACTGTTTCCCTCTCTCCACGGGTTGATGCTTTAAAAAATCCAATTGTAAGTAACAAAGTTTTAATTCTTCTCTGTAAAAATTGCTATATTATAAATAAATATCACTATATTAAATATTAGTTGCTTTTTTCTTTCCAATCCTCCTTTTATATATATATATATATATATATATATATATATATATATATATATATATATATATATATATATATATATATATATATATATATATAAGTAATTAAGTAAGTAATGAGTATGGGACGAGTATAGCTGCTTACATTTAGAAGTTTATTTGTGTTATATATATATATATATATATATATATATATATATATATATATTATATATATTTAGGGCAGCAATTTTTCATTAATGCACGTTTCATTAGATAATATAGACAAGTTTTGTCTATTTATTTTATGTAAATTCTTTTTCATAACGTCTGATAAGTTTAATAACATTATTATTGAAAGACGAAAGGAAATCACTATATTGATACATGTTTAAATCCACTCAAAACTTTCGGCTTACATAAGCCGTTATCAAAGATGACAATTACATTTCAATATATCAAACAGCACACAGACGAACCAATAATGATAGTCTGTTTTTGTTGCATGAAAAATTTCAAAGCAACGACAAACTCGTGTATACGTCTTTCAATGGTGAACCTGGTCAGGATCCAATAAATTAATAGCACACACATATATATATATATATATATATATATATATATATATATATATATATATATATATATATATATATATATATATATATATATTTGGCTTTAGTGAGAAAAAAAGAAAGTTTTATGGAATAATATGAAGAAAGAAAAAAATACGATAAAGCTCACATACTTTTAACGTCTGCTTCAATGAAAAGAAATCCTTGTCTTTTCAGTTGTAGGATTTTACTTTTTCAAATAATAATCATAACCAACATTCATATCTCTGATTGTTATTGAAATATTTCGTTAAAGTTGTTAAACCCGAATATTTAACGAGGCGAAAATTTCAACGACTATTTTATAGTCGTAGAGCTCACTTGGGATCCATTAGAAAGTTCAAATTGAAAAGCCTCGACATTTTCAACTGGTACTGTTATTATTATCATTGCTGATATTATTAAATTTCTAATAGAATTAATGTAATATTAGTATTATAATATATATAATCGATTTTTCAGATCAAATGTATTTTCTTTTTTTTTTTTTTTTTTTTGATCCGCTGACTCCAAAGATTATTTCATGTAAACCTCTAAGGACTTCACGATATATATCTCCAAAGCAAGGGCCAATCAATATCTATCCTCCTTATCCTTATATCTTAATCATCACTTTCTACCACCTTTTCACTTCATATCACACACATCATTCATCATAACCATTTTAACAGCAACTCTCTACCTTGAGTTGCTCTCAAGCATTGTATTGCGTGAACTTTAGCATAAACATATTATTCAGTCTGTGATCATTGCATTTATTTGTTTGTTTTTTTTTTTTTCCTGTTCATAGAAACATTTTTTTTAATTTATATTTCGTAGGGTACAAATTATTTCAAAATCCGTAATCTAGTTAGCTTATGCTGATTTCCTAAGCATAGGCCGAAAGTACGGGACACCTAGTGAGGCTTGAACTCACTACTCAGACTGAGACAAGTTTGCTAACTGTTACACCACGTCCAAGTGTCCAAAATCTAGTTAGCTTATGGGGGTCAACAAAAAGAGGGAATTATCTACAAACAAATCCTCCCCTTTCTATGCGTTTCAGTGTTCTAATTCTGTAGTAATGCGCCGGTTATTGGTGCAGAAAAATGGAATCAGCGAGCCGAGTTCAAATTCCAGCCGAGCCTGTTGCGTTCACTTTCGCACAAATACACCTGCGATGAATTCATCTCTTCTCCCCACTACCAACTATGGATTAAACAACAGAGTAGACTAGGCTCTCTTGCCTTGGTTGGCCACCAGTCTAACAGAAAACTGAATTCCAAACCGTGTTAAAGGCCACGGGAAACTGCTCCACTTTCTTCCCAATAATTCACGGCAATTCACAGTTAATTAAGAAATGTAATCTGTGGAAAGTCATGTTCAACTGTGTTCACAGTTGAATTGGCTAGATGTAACCGTAAGTTCTATGCTAACAGTTTCTTTTCTCGTACTTCGCGTTTGTGGAACTCTCTTCTGGCTTCATGCTTTCTAGCCAACTCTGACCTTTAAAAAATTAAATGCAATATCAGTCGCTATATACGGTTTTGATTTGTCTTCTGTTTTTCTCATTCCTTAATGTTCCCCTCTAAATTTTTTTCTTTTTTTTTTTCTTGTTCTTCCATACTCAGTA